TCAATTTCTTTAGCTGTAAAATGTGATAAAATGTTGCCCATCTCATATGAGGAAAAATCCAAAAATTAAATTTCATTTTTAAAATGGGACAGTGATGAGAGATGATCTCAGAGAATGCTGAAAATGCAGTACTTATATCCAAAGGAAGTCAAATTATTATATAAAGAAACACTCACGCTCCTATATCTCTAGCAGCACTATTCACAACACTCAAGGTATGGAATTGACCAGGATGTCCGTCTAAGGAGATATAGACAAAGAATGTGTCCATCAAAGCAAGGATACACAGAGGACATGATACAATCATATTCAGTGATACAGATGAAAGGCACTCTGACATTTGCACAACATGGATGGAAATGCAGGGCATTAAGGAAAGTTTAAAAACCCAACCATGGAAATGTAAATATTTCATGCAGTCATCCATGCATGGAAGCTGAAAAAGTTGACCTCATAGAGGAGGAGAGTGGAATAGTGGTCCCTAAAGATAGGGAAGTGTGGGAGGGAGGAAAGATGGACACAGTTAGAAGAGGAGCACCAAAGCTCCAAAGGAGGAGGAAATTGTTCTTGTGAACACAAGCACAGTAGCTATAGCACAGTAGGCAAACTTTAGTCCCCAGGAATATGTGTTACAATTCAAAATAACTAGATGACTCCAAAGCTTCCCAATATATATAAATGAATATTTCTATGCTAATTACCATGACTGGACCATTATATATTATATACTTGTATCATAAATAACTACAGTACCAGTGTTTTATTCAATTTAAAATACATTGAAAACCAATAATAGATAAAGAGCAAAATAAAGACAGACTTTTATGATTAGAGATAGGGGATGAGGAACAGGCAGGACGGAAAAATGGATTAAAATTGATTAACCTATTTTTTTTTTGTACTGGGGATCAAACTCAGGTCCTTGCGCTTGCACAGCAGGCAGTGAAACCACTGAGCTAAATCCCCAGCCCTATTAACCTATGTTGTATATATGTTCTAATCTCTAAAACGAATGTAAATTTCATATATTGAAAATATATGTCATTAAAACTATTAAGGAAAGAGAGCCTTTTGCTGTTGAAATATCAAGACAAAAGGACTGCCTCTGCCCAAAGTTTTTCACTTGTGCTATATTAAGTTGGCTACAAAATTTTCCTTGAATTAAAGTAGATTTCCTTTTTATGTACATCTGTTGTCTTGAGTTCTGGCCTCTCCAGAATGAATCACCACTTAGAATACAGATATTCTTTGATGTATGATGCAGTTATATCCAAATAATGCTATTGTTTTATAATTCAAAATGCATGTAATATACCTGCCCCACCTAACAGCCTAGCCAAGTAACATAACACACTGCAGTGTTGGTTGTTTACCCTCATGATGATGTGGCCAGAGATGTGGCTTGCTGCCAGCGTTCAGCATCAAGAAAGACTACTGTACAACATATCACTAGTGTGGGAATGCCAAAGTTGAAAGTGAAGTTTCTTTGGAATCACCTTTTCATCATCATGCAGTAGGAAACAGGGAGACAGTCTTTTGGAAATTGGAAGGGGACCAGAAGATAGATGAATGGGGGAGGAAAGAAGTACAAAGAAGTAAGATGCATTATGTAACTGTACCAACACCCTACAATGAATGTGATCATCATATCATGCAAATACATACTAATAAAAATTCAGGAATTGTTTTATCAAAAAAAAGTTTTAAGTAAAATTGTAAGTTGAAAAGTGTCTACATATTAAGCCCATGTATCCAGTCTCTGAAACCTGTTCTCAACCCTAAATACACACACAGGCACACACACACACACATACACACACACACACACTCACACCTAGCTAATATCAAATACACATGATATTAGCCAAAAGGCTGGGAAGCAAGTACTAGAAATAGATAACAAGGTGAGCAATAAATATCAGATTATATTCCCCCAAAGAATGTACAAATGGTACCCAGGAGTGGTACTCTCTTTGTCAATCTCCCATCACATGTATCCTTGAAGTCTCAATTTGGTATGCCTATTATCTGCCCTGTGTTTAAAGAAACAAAAAAATATTCTCTGTAAACAGACAGAAGTGTTAAATGGACCTGAGGGGAAAAAAGTATCTAATAAGCTCAAGGGGTCCCTGTGAGACTATAAAGAAGGAAAAACTTCCACTGTTCTGGCACCATTTCAACACCTACTACACCCCCTGATATCTAGCAAAAATAATAAAAGCTTGAAAATAAATGTATGCAAAATTAAAAAGTAATGAAACTCTGTATCAAACACACTAATAGAAAAAATGAATAAAGAGATTAATCCAATTATTTTACAAGAGGAAACATACAAGAAGAATAAAATGTTTTTGGCACCTTTCATGAGCCAGCAAAAAAATTGTGTCCTGTGGCTTTTCCACATTTATTTGGTAAATTTGTTTTTATATGATTTGAGGGTGGATAAAGTAGTCCTCTCTCTCATGTGGCTCTTTTTCTAAGCTCTGGATACATACAATATGTATTCTTATTTATTATATACAGTGTGGTAGTTCAATCTAGGTATATATGTTGTAATGATCACACAGGATAATTGCCATATACATTATCTTAAATACCTATCATCTCTGTTGTGGGAAACAATAAAAAAAATCCTCTCCTCAAATACACAATTATTGTCAACCATAATTGCTCTATGATGCTATAGAGCATTGTAATCCCCCAAATAGAAGTGATTCCTCCTATCCAGTTGCACCTCCTAATAGCTGTACCCTTTTGAGCATCCTCCATCAATTCTTCCTTCCTACTATTTCTTTCCCTAGCTCTAGTGACTACAATTCTGCATTCTACTCTCTACGACTGATTTATTCATAATTCATCCTCTCTTGGTTCCCTAGCTCATACATCTCACAAAAAATCTGAGATAATAAAATCTGTATGAAAAGAAATAATACACTTTAGAGGAGCATAACAAAATTACATATAAAATTCTGTTTTTAAGCAGATCAAATATTTTATTAAGAAAAGAAATAATCTCATATGAAGGAACGTGTTTCCTAAAGCCCAGTCTGCAAATGCATTCTTTTTATTACCTATCCTTTTAATAGTAGCAAATGTGATAATATCATGCAAGTACACAGTAGTTTGTAATGAGTAAGTTGGAATATTAAGATTTATATCTCTTTAAACATGTGTTTTTTATTTTAAAATTTAAATAATTCACATGTACTAATAATATTGAATATTGGGCTATACTGTGATATTTTCATGTTTACAGGAAGTTAAAATCATCTTAAATAAGGCAAGAAACTCAGAAGTAAGAAGATAGACATACATCACTAAATAAATCCTAAAACTTTTTATTCAGTAATGGAGATTTCACTCAAGGTCTTCACACTGAGCTATATTCCCAGGCCTTTTTTACTTGTATTTTGAGGCAGGGTCTCTAAGTTCCTAAGGTGCCTGGGCGCTGAGTTTGAACTTCTGATTCTTCTGCCTCAGCTTCCCAGAGCGTTGGGATCATTGGCATGTGCCACTACACCTGGACAAATTGAGAAATTTTTATGGCCAAAAACATTCCCCCTAATAATCATAAAATCATATTAAATGTCAATAAATTTAAAATGGGCACACAATAAAAAAGAGACAAATTGAAATAATTATTGTGTATATGACTATTTGGTGAAATCCAGTAGTAGTTTAAGGAAACAGTAAATCTCTTTCACATACTTCAGTTTGAGAAATCATGAGGAAGTATTTAATTGATGGG